AGGGCAACAACTTTTTCCGAGATGAAGTTAATTCTAAAATAAAATAATTTTCAACAAATTCATAATTTTCAGAAAAAAAACATCGTTCTCATTAAGTTGTGATTTCTCCAAAATCTCATTTGCAATTTCTTCCTCCTCAAAACAATCCTGCACAACTGAATCAACCATGTCAATAGAAAAAATAAAGTGACAATCTTCAGGATATCTCATTGCATCATCAATATTAAAAGTAACAACTTCTCCATGAAATTCGACAGAAAGAGTACCCTTATCCACATCTATTTTTATTCTTGCAGTTTTTAAGAAAGACCTTCCCAAAATTAATGGAGCTGAATTAGTGATATTATCTTCCTTTATTTTTAAAATGTAAAAATTTGCAGGAAAAATTAGTTCCCCAATTTGTACATAAACATCTTCAACAATTCCTTCGGGATAAACAAAGGAACAGTCGGCTAATTGAATCACAACTCTAGTTTCTTTCAATGGACCCATATGTAAAGCATAGAAAATTGAATATGGCACAACATTAATGGATGCTCGAAGATCTACAATACCATATTCAAATTTCTTATTTCCTATAGTACAAGGCATCGTAAACATACCTAGATCTAAACATTTTTTTGGTAGAGTTCTTTTTATTATAGCAGAAATATTTTTCTCGAACAAAAATTTCTCATCACTTCGTTTCTTTTTATGAGTACACAAACCTTCAGAAACCTTGCATATTTGGGAATTTGTCTGATAGCATCTCACAAGGGAATGTTGATCTCCACTTTCTAAAAGGTCTCAAGAACCTCTTTTTCATATTCCTCCTTCTTGGATTTTTCTAACCTGCAAGAAAAAGGTGCAACTATTGCATTAGGAATAGTAGAAAAAATTTCCTTAGGCGTTACCTGTGGTGAATCTTCAACTACTTCTTCCTCTTTGTCTTTTTGTTCAACCACCTGGAGAAGATGGTGCTGATGGTAGTTCCTTTCCACTTCTTAAGGTAACTGCACTCACATTCTCTTTTGGGTTAACTACTGTTTGAGAAGGCAATTTCCTAGATGTTTGAGCCTCCAGTCTACTCACTGATGTGGCTAGTTGGCTGATTTGATTTCCCATATTCTGAATGCTTATTCTTGTCTCCTGCTGAAACTGCTGAGTATTAGTTGCTAAAGCTTTAACAATATCATCAAAGGACATACCTGAGTTAGACGACGGTGATGGAGGTGGTGGAGCCCTATTGTAGGTTTGGGGAAATCTCTGTTGACCACAATGATTGCCATAGCTGAAGTTTGGATGATCCTTCCATCCAGGATTATAGGTGTTTGAGTAGGGATCATATTTTCGCTGTGGTTGATTTGGAAATCCTCCTATGGCATTAACTTGTTGAGTTGGGTCTTCTTGAAGAGAAGGACACATGTCTGTTGGGTGCTCAAGATTGGTGCAGATTCCGCAAACCTTAGCTGCCTGTAACTGTCCTACAGCCATTTGACGAACCAAAGAAGTTAAATCAGAAATTTGATTGGCAAGAGCAGAATGACTTACCTCGTTAGTCAGTTTAACACCTCCGTCTGTTCTCAATCCAAATTGTTGAGAATTTTCAGCCATGTTTGAAATTAGTTGCTTTGTAGCTGCTGGTATTTTATCAACAAGAACTCCTCCACTGGCTGCATCTATCATACTCCTATCCATGGGCAGAAGACCTTCATAGAAGTATTGGATCAAGAGCTGGTATGGAATTTGATGGTGGGGGCAACTAGTACATAACTTCTTAAACCTTTTCCAATATTCATAAAGGGACTCTCCTGTCATCTGTTAAATGCCGCATATATCCTTCCTTATATTTGTAGCTCGTGAAGCAAGGAGAAACCTCTCCAAGAGCAATTTCTTCATCTCATTCCATGTGTTGATTGAACCTGAGGGAAGATCATACATCCAGTCTTTCGCTTTATTACCTAAAGAAAAAGGAAACACTCTTAGTTTAATCTGCTCCTCAGTAACACCCTGTGGCTTCATTGTTGAACAGACAACATGAAATTCCTTCAAATGCTTGTGGGGGTCTTCTCCTGCAAAACCACGAAAAGTAGGAAGTAAATGTATCAGACCAGATTTAAGCTCAAACGCTGCTTCAACATTTGGAAAATTAATGCACAGAGGCTGCTGATTCAAGTTTGGTGCAACTAATTCTTTCAAAGTTCTATTATTTTCACCCATGTTTGTTTTCTTCTTCCTGAGAATCAAAATCAGAATTTGATGACTGAGAATCTAAATTTACCCTAGAATGCAATTTAGCATTTTTTTCTCAGCTTCTTTTCTGAACAAACGAGCAGCTTTTTCAATCTCAGGAATGAAATTAAGATCACTATTTCCAGTACGACGACTACTCATAAATCAGAAAGCTCAAAAAAAAAACACAAAAACTAGCAATCTAAAATGATAAAATTCCTACAGTTACTATCATGCACCGACAAAATTTTAAAATCATTAGCATGGATAAATAGATATGCAAAATAGCACAATAAACTAACACAAGAAGACTAATTATTGCATAGAAAAGAAATGGGACTTTTTTTTTATAGAAACAATTATAGTAGAGCACAACAGTTAGATTAAAAAGAATAATAATAAAAACAAAATAAGGCAATTATTAACTTAACACAAAAAATTACACAAATAAGAACACAACTCGAAATCCGAATAAATATAACAATGACACTTTTCCACCAAAAACAAGTTGCTCCCTGGATTGAGCCGTTAGTGGCTACTGCAAAAGAAAATTTTCAAACACCAAAATCCCAATCCAGAGGCCAATTGATGTACTGCTGCTGGGCAAAAGATGATCTGCAATGGAAATGGTGGCCTGTGAATTAGAACGAAGTAAAAAAAATTAGCGAGAAAAAGAAAATAACAACATAATATAAAAAAAAAACTTCTTTTTTTTTTATAATAATAATAGTAAAAAAAATTTGAAACAACTAATAAAAACAACTATTTCTTAAATGAGAGAATGAAAGAAAAAAAATTTGAAAGTGTTTTTATTAATAATAAGACTAATAACGAAGAAAGAAACACTACACTTAACTAGAATTTTTTCTTTTTTCGTTTTGGAATAAGAAAAATAATACATAAAAATAATAAAACCAAGAGCCAAAGGAAATGGCTGCCCTGTAACGGCGCCAAACTTTTGGCGGGTTTGTCGAGACCCGCAAAAATTAATCTTATTTCCTAACAGACCAAAATTAATTTGTAGAAACAGTGGAATCAGGTCGAATCACAAGAGAGCCGACTTTTAACACTTGGCTCTACAAAAATGCAAACTGGGGGGATTTTTCTTCTTTAAAATAAAATGACAATTTGATGTAAATAAAAATAGAGAGAAAATTAATAATAGAAAAACTTTGATTCAAGGAATCATTCAAATATATTATAGATCATCGACTAAAAATACATTTTTCTACAACTCAAGCATTCAACCGTAGGCATAATAGGATAGCCGTAAAAAGCCTTATATTTTCTAAAAGTATTTGACCAAGCCCAGCACCTAATCAAAACTTAGTATAATTTAACTAGGCCACGATAGCGTTCCATGTTAAATTATACTAGCAATATAAATTTTGAAAACTTAGTTGAACCAAAAACTAAAATAATTGAGATAGCTGCAATTAAAATATTTTTGTCCTATTGATCTCCTAGTTAGACTTATTATGCACATTCAACGTGTCACTAGCAATATGCATAATCTGCTAATGTGCTACTTAGTGCCAAATGTTTAAGACGATAGCGCACTATAAACAATTTGGTAGCAGTAGGAAGAAAATACTTGATTAAATTGTCAGAGTGATCAAGTATCTACTTTCATAAAAAGAAATTAAAATCAACAAGTACTTGAATTAAAAGTAGAAAAAATAAAGTGAAACTTGTAGTCTCACATATAATATAAAAGAATAAAAATCATTGAACCAAATGAAAAATACTAGCCACTCATAGTGACTAGAAACATTTTTTAAATTTTTAAAAGAAAATGAAAAGAAAATGAAAATACGGCTAAAAGAGCCTTAAACGAAACTAATGAAAATGGAGAGTTGGGGGGTTAGAAGCTTGCTAAGCTACGGGGAGGTTTTTTATCAATTGATTAAGGTGCCTTATTTATAGTGGCTGCCTAACTATTACTGCAGAGGATTAGGAGTAAAAGAAAATCAAATCAAATCTGCTTCTAACTTTCCAGTAAACCAAATGGATTTGATTTTTGGTGTGATTCTCTTCAATCCAACCGAACTGGAGATCAAGATTTAGACTGTTGACTTGGTACATAAATCTTCTAGGAAATCATTTTTGTATATTCTTTGCAGTTTGATTTTTCTTCATTCTTTAACTCTGTTAAATAGTCCGTAAAAAGTTAAAATACCCCATTTTTCATTGTTTTACCACCTGACACAAAATGATAATAAAATCAATTAATAACCTTCAAATTATAATCAAATGAGGCCTTTAAGGTCATAATAAAATTAATTTTATTATAACTATCAAGTCACTCAGTAACAATACAAAATTAAGAATCTCCCTGGTAGTGAGTATCCAATGTTAGTTTCTTAAAAAAAACGTAATTTTGCAGAAACTTTTTTTTAAAAAAAAGTAAAAAACGATAATTTAAATACAATGAATAAGTAAATATTATTAATTTCTTAAATTATTTTTTTGGGACGGAGGAGTACCAATTATTATAAGAGAGAGAGACACGCCAGAGGGCCAGCTCAATACATGAACAAAAGATAGCATTGCATTCAACAATCGGATAGGAGGGAATAATTTAATGTGTTAAATTTGGAAATCCGAAAAACTAAAAAAAAAAATTAAAAAAATAAAAAATTCAGATAAACCCTAGGGTCAGTGAATATAAACGCCGACTTGCCAGGGCCTATAAACGTAAACACATCTCAAATACAACACAAATATTCATCGGACATAAAGGTTATCTTTCCGCAAACGCCGCCGCCTCCTCCTCCATCATCATCGTCATGCCAACGGTGGCCGTCGGAAGAGACCGGCTTAACGAAGCCCTCGGTCGCAACTACACTACCGAAGAGTTTGAAGAATTATGTTTCCAATTCGGCATTGAACTTGATGATGTCACAACAGAGAAAGCGATTAAGATGAAAGAAAAGCATTTGGGAGAAGAAGAAGAAGCAAAAGAAGGAGCCGCCTCGGGTGATGATGAAGAGATCATCTAGAAGATTGAGGTTCCGGCGAACCGGTACGATTTGCTTTGTCTTGAAGGGATATCTCAGGCCCTAAGAATATTTAATGGGATTGATGCAAATATTCCCGAATACAAAGTTTCGGACAGTATTGATGAATCATCATCAATGCTCGAGATTCATGTGAAGAAGGAAACATCTCAAATAAGGCCGTTTGTTGTGTGTGCTGTTTTGCGAGGTATAACGTTTGATGAAGTCAAATACAAAAGTTTCATGGATCTTCAAGACCGGCTTCACCAAAACATATGCCGGCAGCGGACTTTGGTCGCAATTGGTACTCATGATTTGGACACAATAGAAGGCCCTTTCACATATGAAGCTTTGCCACCTCAACAAATCAAATTCGTGCCACTGAAACAAACCAAGGAGTTTGCTGCCAACGACATGATGGAAGTTTATAGGTCAGATCAAAAGCTCAAGAAATTCTTGCATATTATTGAGGATTCTCCCGTGTTTCCTGTTATATACGATCGGAATCGGACGGTTTTGTCTTTGCCTCCTATCATCAATGGTGCTCATTCCGCAATCACTTTGAAGACTAGGAATGTGTTCATTGAATGCACTGCCACCGACTTGACTAGGGCTAATGTTGTTTTGAACACAATGGTGACAATGTTTTCCAAGTATTGCGAAAACAAGTTCGAAGTCGAACCGGTTCGAGTAATCTATGATGATGATGGAAAATCATGTTGTTATCCTGACCTTTCTTTGTACCAAATGGAGGTTCCCTTGTCATATATAACTAGTATTGTTGGAGTTGAGTTAGAAGCAAATGAGGTGGCCGATTTGTTGAAGAAAATGCAGCTACAAGCTGAGCTAAAAGATAATGACACTTTTGATGTATCTATACCTCCTACAAGAAGTGATATTCTACACCCATGTGATGTGGCTGAGGATGTGGCAATTGCTTATGGTTATGATTCCATACCGAAAGTGATTCCGTCTTGTTCTTTGTCGCCGTTTGTGTTGAATGAATTTAGTCATTTACTGACAATGGAGATTGCAATGGCCGGATTCTCGCAGGTGGAGAATTGGGCACTTTGTTCTCATGAAGAAAATTTCACCAAGCTGAATCGGAAGGGTGATAAAAGAACGGCCGTAACTATTGAAAACCCTCGCACCGTTGATTCTCAGGAGATGCGCGCGAGTCTAATGTCCGGCATGCTGAAATGTATTGGCCACCAAAAAGATCACCCGAAACCTATCAAGATATTTGAAGTCGGTGATGTTGTGCTGCTGGATGATTCCAAAGATGTTGGAGCGAGAAATCAACGTCATTGTGCGGCTTTGTACTGTGGTGCTAACTCTGGTTTTGAGTTGATTCATGGTCTGGTGGACAGAATCATGGAAGTTACTCGAAAACCTTTCAAAAATCAGGAGAAAATAGACCACTATATCAAAGCCTCGGATGAGCCTCAGTTCCTTTCTGGTAGACAAGCGGATATCATCTACAAGGGGAAGAAGATTGGCACTTTCGGGATTGTTCATCCTGCGGTATTGAAAACCTTTGATATTCCAGATCCATGCTCTTACGTGGAAGTCAACTTAGAGAGTTTGCTTTAGGGTTTAAGAGATCATCAATGATGTAAGTTGCTTCGGTTTTCTATAGGTTTATTAATTCTCTCTTGGCAGGCGTTGTAGAATTGATATTTTAAGCATTTTTTGATAAACAGTTTGATTTTCAGTACTTTGAATTTGATTCATTCGCATCAATTAGCAGTTCTCGTCCTTGAGTCTTAAATCTTTAATCAACGCCTTAGTACTTGGTTCTGGACTTCTTGTAGCACTATGTATTTCTTGGATGGCTTAATTAGAAACGTATTTCCCCATGAGATGTCTTGTTCAATAGGTCGTTGAGATGTTTGAGACTTCACATAATTTTCTTTTTTTTTTTTATAAAAAATTTGTTTGGGACGTTAAATGCCTTAGCATAAAAGTGTTTGCGCGCAGTAGGTGATGGAATTAGCCTATTTGTCTTTCATTCACTTGAGTGAATTTTTTCCGGCAGTCATTATCTCTCACAATAAATAAGTGCTTCTGTGCTGAATTTCTGACTCTAAAATTTTTAGGGGAAAATGTCTTCTGAAAGTACAGTCAAGCGATCACTAAGAAAAGTACCAATTGGTTCTGTAGCGTAAGGGGTCACTCAATTTGTTTTACTGTATAGGATTCGTCGGTTCAAAGCTTTTTATTTAAGTTTGTTTGAATGCGGCAATTTCATTGTTGTACACATTCGTTCTGAGAACATCGATGATCGGTCTCTCTAGAGTTTTGGCAGCATATATTCTTTATTTTCACCTTCAAATGTTTACATTTTTATCTAATTCTCTGTTCTGATTGACTAAAGACAAATTTACAAAATAACCTTTTAACAATCCGCAGTAAGTTTTGCTTATTTGTCAATACATAAGATCAGTTTCGTATAATGTCAAACAAATTGAAGATAATGCGTAATAGTAGAATTTTAACTTGTTAGAGGAACAATATTCATTACGGTTCACAAAAATGTGCATATTTAATGAAAAATTAGTATAGATGGAATAGCTTGTACATGTTCACAACAAAACGTCATTTACTCACTTTATAACCGGTGACCAAGCCAAGAGAACATATATAATTTGCAAATGTGAGATCAAATGTAATAGAATTGGTCCGATTCAAAGCTTTTATTAATTAAATTGAACTAAAGATCACAAAATTAAGAGTAAGAGTGGCCTTCCACGTAACTATAACCTCTCGCCTAACAGTTAGCTTCTACTCCAAATTGAATTCAGTGGTTTGCAACAAGTATAATGATACAATCGATGAATAAATTAAAGCCAATAACAAATGGAGTTAAATAAATGCAAAGCCCGAATGATGCTGAGAGTGAACGTGAATATTAATGGAACATTAAAGTTTTGTACTATGATCCACACCAACTAGCTGCCACCGTTAAGAAAATCAATTCTTGCCCTCTATGTATTATTTCTTTTCTCTTTGGCTCATCCAGATTCCATACCCTAAGTTCTTGTCTTCGTCTCTCTTGATGAAGGTATTTCTTTCATTTCATTCTTCCATTGTACCATATGAACTATATATTCACTTTCTTTCTTTAGCATGTATTTCCCAACAAGCTAGGAGGTTTGTTTCATCTATGGCTGGGATATGGAATTCATCAAATGTGATTCGTCTGGAAGTCAACAACATTTAAGCTCACACGAGTTTCTTTCTACGAGTTTCTTGCTTGTATTCACGATTGGCGCCCAATTTCGAGAACAACACCCATATGTCTAGGGTATCCCTGAATATTGGTCGACTCAGAGTCACTGTAATACGGTGGATTCAATTTAATTTGTTTACTGTGCTACTTAAGCTTTTCTATTTGATTTGTTTTTTCTTTTTTTTATTATTATTATTATTTTCTTTTTTGGGAAATGGTTTCCCTAAATGTGCAGAATTATTTGATTCAAAGGTTTAATTAGTTAGGTTTGAAACTTCGTTGCAATAAGTATTGGCTCTTTAAAATGTCCAATTCTTCTTGCTGATATAACTAATGTTGTAATATTAGTCTCTATATGCTGTTTTGGACCAAAAAAAGCAGGCCATAATCTACTTCTAATCGGTAACCTTTGAGACTATGACTAACAGATCGGACAAGACATGATATATCATCAGTCCAAGTTCTTGTGCTTATATGTTGAACTGTCTCTAATTTCAAAGGAATTTTCATTTCTTGTTAATTACAGTAGTTCATATTAGCAGTTGGTTACGGAAAAAATGTCAGTTTTAATCTCATTGCACTCAAAGATATTCTTGAGTTGGAAACATCTTGCAAACTACAACTAAATGTCTACTATGGTTTTTTTCTTGTACAAAGGAGATCGTTCTTTGTTTCCATATGCAATATTCCTAATAACTGATATGAAGACACATTCTTTGTTCCAATTGATTTATATTTTGTTAACTATAGTCTATAAATTCGTTTATTAGTTACGTGAAATAATTTCTCTTTCTCAATTGGCCACATTAGATTTACCAGACAGTTGTATACGGTGTTTGGAAAATCGAAATTCAAAATGGTTAGATGAAGCGATTAACACTAACATAACTGTTATATAATTTGCTTGTAATAATCTTAATTAAAACTGAATCCAAATATGTCTTTTGACACACGAAAAGTTAAAGAAATAATAGCAGAGAAAGTAATGTCTCTGACTTGTTTATCTAGCACCTTCCACCAAGTACAATGATTCAAAGGATCCATAAAATTCAAAACCAAGGAAACTACTTCAATTCAAAGCCTGGGAGGACGTAAAAAATTAACTTAACAGTTTATTTTGGTCTCATCCACCCAACCACCAGACCATATTGTTCTGTTAGGAAAATCCGAAAAAATAAATTCCACAATCCTTCAGTGTATAGTACTCTTTCAAACCTTCTGAAGCCCATATAATAAGGTTAATATGTTTAGCGTCTTTTCTGTTCTTCAATACTCTGATGAAACATGTTTACTGGTTCCAATAACAATCAGAGCTTCACTTTACGGAAATTTATTTGCAGGTTTGAGTTTTTCCTCCGTTAATTATTTGAGCTTCTTGGATCCGTCTCATTTTTTGCTACATATTTTCCCATTTATTCTGGTTAATTTATACCCGACAGATATTTCTTTCTTGCTTTAATTTGGCCAAAACAGCTAAACTATTACATCTACGAGAACTTCCGACATAGTTATATTTTAACCACGTAATTATTGTCAACGATAAAAAGAATCTAATTGTTTTCACTTGGATACAATAGAAGAGATGATATTGAATTGTGACAAACCAATCCCTACTCACTAATTTGTTGATACCCTCTATAAATGCCCAATACGCATCCTTCTGACATTGTGACCCGAAATTTAAACAATTAATATCATGACATCTAAACCATATTCATGTTTAATAGTGGAGAAAACAATATAATGACTAGTTGACATTAACGGTGAACAAATGCATTTGTGGGTTCTCGTTTTTATTTCCAAGCTTTTATCACTGAAGTTTGCTTCATACAGGTAATGAAACTATTTAAAATCAAATCTGAATTCAGTCCATGAATCAAGTATTTGCAACCTTCAAAAAGGGTATAATCTACATTAGGAGAACAAAAAACTTTTTCGGATTTTTCCACATTGAGCAAAAATGAAAGAAAACCTGCTTTTGAGAAAAAGTTACTGAGCATTAAGTTGAAAGGTAAAAAAAGTTTTTCAAAAAGACCAAAAATCATTTAGAGAGTACTTTCAGTATGTTTAAATTCTCCATTTCACTCACACCTTCAAAAAGAACTCTCCAGAAAGTAGTGTTTTATTTATACCCAACCATAGAGCTGAACTAATAATCCAAATATAGCTATTACGACAATTTCGTTGAGCATTTAATTTTGTTCAATATAAATTTTTCAATCTTGTTTGCTAACACGCGCTGATCAATTAACATTTGATTTGTCAAGGTTTAATCAACTTTGCCAAAACACCCGGTATTCTTCATGTTCTTCAAATTATTGCTCCTACTTCTGCTTATCGACTACAATGATACAATCGATCAACAAATTAAATGATGCTCAAAAAAGACGTAAAATTCAATTAATTGAACAATAAATAAAGTTTGGTCCATCCACCCCAACTACATCTTTTAAGAAAATCAATTCTCTTGCCATTTATATATTCCTTTTCTTTGGTCCATCCAGATTCCATACCACCAATTTCTTCGGTCGTAACTAACCGGTACGTCTGTGTCAGTATTCTTCCACATAATAATTAGTACTATTTAGCTTTATAACCTTTCCCCTTTTTGGTTAGGTAATTTCTGTTGAAGTTAAAATCTGAAATTGTAATCTTGCCTCTTAGGGACGTATATATATTGTTCATGATTTGGCCGCTTGCTTAACAACATGTTATGAGATTTGTGCGAGTTATAGATGACACAGATCGAGAGATGAATAAGGTTGGAAGTCAGCGTTTTAAGCTCCCACGAGTTTCTTGCTATGTATTCCTTGCTTCAAATTCTTTCCTGTCTATCTGAATCCTGAAGTAACACATGGACACAGCCACAGGCAAGGCCACTGGTCGGCTTTTTGGATCGACACAGGAAATCCAAGCTAATCTCATTTACCAAAAGTGAAATCGGTTCCTGATTGCGTAAGGGAAACGGTGGATTCAATTTGGTTTCTGTACTACTCATGCTTTGTCTTTAGAATTTTTCGGATTCAAACCTTTAATTAATCAGGTTTGAATCTATACCAATAAAAATGATGTACTATTAATTAGTTTCTACTACTCTTTTGGAACAAACACAAGGAAAAAAAAAAAAAATCGTATGAGGCTGAGCTAGTTGCTGTGTTTCTTTCTTCATATCAAATTTTCGACATTTCCTTCGGGAGTTTTTGGTGAAGTACTCCCTCCATATCGTTTTATCTGTCGTTTAAGGATTTTAACACAGTTTAAGGAATAACATTAAAAGACCAAATAACCCTTATTTACTCAAAATAGAACTCTAATCCCAATTCCAACCTTAAACACAATTCTCATTGGAACTAGGAGTATT